GAGGAATCGCTTCCGGTGGCGGCACTTCGAGAAAAGTTCACACCGCTTGTTCAATAGTTTTGTCTTATCACCTTTCAGGATATGCAATTTTTCCTGGAGACAAAGATCACAGTTTTTTGCGCCGCTGCGATACGAAGGTGTTTGTTTTAGTATTGTCCATTAAGTATTGTAGTTTTAGTATTGTCCAGTATTGTCTTATACTTAAGTTAACATATTCGTCGGCCACATTGTGTGTTCGTTCTTTAGTGACTGGTGGATGTTGGGACATAAAATCAGCAGGGTTTCCATGTATAAATCACTTTAAAATCAAATCATACTGTTGTAATTGAAGCAACCAACGTTCGATTCGTGTTGGTGGTTTGGATAGGTGGTTTGGATGGTGTTAAAGCACGACTGCATGGCATACGCAATGATGTTTGGAGATGTGTTCTTACCTTGTGGTATTTGAGTCAGAATTGCTGATAGTGCTACGGGACTTGCATCCACCACCAGTTGAGTTTCATTTCTGATGTCAAAATAGCTCATAACCGAGCTATTCATGCACTAGAGCTGTTTTAAGCTGCTGGTATGCGTCTTTATGTTCTTTGTGCCAGTTGAATTGTGTTCCTTTGTGAGTCAATTTACGCAATGGTGCAGTTATTGTTGCAAAATTGGGTATAAATTGAGCACTGTAGTTAGCCATGCCCAAGAGACTTCGCACTTCACTTACTGTAGTCGGTGTGGTGGTGTTGGTAAATGCTGAGATTTTCTTAGAATCAGGACGTACCCCCTCTTGGGAGAAGAGCAAATCAAAGAATTCCAAATTGTGTTTCAGAAACTTGCACTTGCCCAGATTCAGGGTTAGCCCAAAGTGTTTCCAAACGTTGTAAGCATTCTTGAAGAGCTCTGTCGTGTTCTTCATACGTCGAGCCAAAGAGAAGAATGTCATCTGCAATTTTTCGTACCCCATCAAGTCCTTGTAAAATTTGCTGCGGGGTGTTTTGAAAGATTTCAGCCGCTGAATTGGTGCCATAATTTAGACGTTTAAACCGATACAACCCTGCATGGGTGATGAATGTGGTAATGTGTCTCGATGTTGTTGACAACTCAAGTTGATGATACGCTTGAGACATGTCTAATCAAGCGAAATGTCTCGCACTGTGGGAATAGGATGACAGACTCGTTTTATTGCTGTGTTCGCAGCCCGCATGTCAACACACAAGCGGATTTTATCATCCTTTTTAGGTACTATAACCACAGGCGATATCCAAGGTGTTTCATCAGTGTCAGGGACCTTTTCAATAATATCGTCTTGTTCAAGACGACTTAATTCACTATCCACTTTAGCCCGTAAGTGGAAAGGTATTCTGCGTTGCCAATGGGTGATAGGTTTTACACTTTTGTCCACGATTAGTTCAATTTGTCGGTTTTTTAGCTTTTCAACGCCTTGGAACACTTTATTACGCTTGTTTAAAATGTTCCGTACGGTTTTGTCTGTTACTGGGAAAGTAGTTGTCGTTTTATCCTTTTGTTGTGATGTCTTGGATGTTTCAACTTGTTGAGGTGCAGACTGATTAGTCCTAATTCTTGCGCGGTTGCATTGCTAAGCAGACAGCCACCGTCCTCGGCAGTGACATATGTATATTGTGGTAACAGTAATTCGTTTACGAGATTCAACTACTGTTTGGAATTTCCCTTTCATTTTGACAGGCTCAGCAAAATTAAATGGATAAGCTTTGATATGTGTTTTCTTTAGGTTTATATTACCTAATCGTTTACTTTACATGGATTTGCATCAATAAGGTTGATTGTTGAACCAGTGTCCACCGTATATTGCACGTTTTGAATATTGACTTTTAACTTAGTACCGGGTGATTGCATAGCATTTGTCTTAACAGCGTAGCAGTATTCTGAGTCACTTGAGTCGCTGCTGGACTGGTTACCATTATCAGAGGTGTTCACTGGCCAGATGTTATTTTTATTTTGACGCCGCTGACCTTGTTTGGCATGATATTGACTTTGTCGAATGTCTGGGTTACCAGAACGACACACCTTTGCAAAGTGGTTTAGTTTGTTGCGTTTCCGACATTCCTTATTTTCCGCAGGACAAGGGCTATTTGTGTGAGTCCATTCTCCACCACAGTTTCTACAAATGTTCATTGTACGTGAACGACGACTGTCATGAATCGACTGTACCACCGGATTATCAGACTCGACTTGATTTGCTTTCTACATACTGGTTCGATCCAACGACTTTTAGAATTGCCGGTTTCATGCAATCAACCACAACAAAATCTTCAGCTAATTTGAAAACATACGTTGTGAGGCTAAGGTCCTCAGTTAAATCTGTAACGACCTTCAATTTAGGTAAAGGAAACACATGAAATGTTTGATGTTTGCTCACGATAGGATGCGTTAAACATAAGCATGGGATCAGAGAGCGCCTTACTCCGATATCGATAAGAGTATAGAGTAATAAGCATTGGAAATAAGCTGACACTAAAAAGACGCCGCATGCTGTAATAAATATACAGTAGTTGTATATGAATAACGTTACTCGTAAATTTTTAAAATTGAAATCAAGTCCAGTTTTTACGTTTTTTAAATTTTGAGTCGAAGTTAAATTTTGAGCCAGGAGTCACAAATTGTATGTTTAATTAATTTTTGGTTGACACCAACAAAGAACGTCTTCGAAAACTTTTTTGGATTTTATATATATATATATGCGTTTTTTAATGGCACACTATCACAAAAAATTGAATTACAATGTGCTTACAATAATTACATAGCTAAATTAATAAAGATACAATAAGTTTAATACTATATTTACAATTTAAAAATTTAGGTGTGAGGAAAGTATATATTGTAATAGTTTAGATATTCAAAAACTAGTGTCATGATGACATATTTAAAACTCGAATCATACTTGAGAAAAAGCTTTTCTGAAAACGATCAGTTCTACATTTGAACAATGACCTATTGTTAGCGTTACGTAAATCGTAGTTCACGTTTTCTCTAGTCTGAGGTAAGAGATAAAACAGGCGGTTGCCATCAGTTATCTTTTTAATCGTTCTTTCACACAAAGCATCGCGTCTCTCATCTAGGCGAGAACAATGGAGCTGACTTAAAGCTTCACGGTAAGACCTGCCAGGGAGGATTATATTCAGTGCTCTTTTCTGAACTCGTTCAATTGAGTCCGCCAGATAAGCTAGTAGATTGTTATGCCATACAATGCAGCAGTACTCTAGTACGGAGCGAATGAGAGCATAGTAAATAAGGATCAGTTCATGAGGTGGGATTCCACCCCGTTTAAGAACTCTAAGAATATGAAAACGCTTGGAGGCCTTTTTAACAATCATGGCAATATGCCCATTCCACTTAAGATTATCCTGTATAACCAATCCAAGAACCTTATGATGAGAAACTATTTCCAGGGGTGTCCCCTCAAATTGAGACGTTCTAAAATGGGTCGCTCTTTGAGGAAACAGACGTGCATCTCTTTGCATTTCTTTGGATTTAGCTTCATTAGGTTGTTGTCAGCCCATGTGTTGACCTCATCAAGGTGATACTGCATACGGGATTCACAGTTTCTTGACAGGGACTCTGAAATGGATACATCATCCATGAATTTCCAAGTACCAGTATTCCCTGGGGATGGGATCTTTAGATCGTTGATTATAATAAAAAATAAGATTGGTCCCAATTTTGTATCTTGTGGTATGCCGGCTGTAACCGCCAACCAGTCCGAGGTAGCGCCACCAAGTCTAACACACTGTCTACGGTTAGATAGCAAACTTATAATCCATGGGATCAGAGAGCGCCTTACTCCAATATCGATAAGCTTACTAATAAGCACATTATGTCCGATACGATCGAAGGACTTTGTGTAGTCTGAAAATAATAGACGGATATGCTTATCAGGAGAGTCAAGGTGGAATAGCCAATTATGTATCATATCGAGAAGGCAGTATGCTGTTGATGATCCTTTCAAACAACCAAATTGCTGTATGTCAAGATTATTCACGACGTTTTTCATCATCCATTGTACAACAAAGTCCTCCAGGACTTTGGAAAGACAAAGGGGTGAGAGAGATTGGTCGAGTATCTCCTTCACAAGTCGTTTGTGACACTTTTGGAATTGGGGAAATGGGTTCCAGGCGGCAGGAAATGTTCCAGATGTTAGGGATGTGTTAAAGATAGTTGCAACGGGTTCTGCAAACTCGTGAGCAAATTCCTTTAATATGCGAGGTGTAATATTATCAGGGCCAAATGCTTTGAAAGGTTGAAGAGTACAAAGTTTCTTATAAACTTGGTAAGGTTCGATTATAGGTGGTGTGTCAGGAGCGAGTAGGAATGCCGGTAGTACTGAGCAATCCAGTGGAGGGATATCTGCATTAACAGATGTATAGAAGCTGTTAAGACTGTTCACCAATTCGGAATCAGATAAGATTTTCCCGTCACGCTCGAGACTGAAGCTCGTGTTCTTTCTTGATCTTCCGGACATTTTATTTACAGTATTCCACCACTTTCGGCAATCATCTTTACGAAGATGCTGAATCTTATCCTTACAAAACATTTCTTTCCTCTGTTTTATTTCTGATTGCAATTTGCACTTCAATAGTTGCCATTGTTGCTTCTCACCTCTATAGAAGGCTTTTTGACGATCTTTAATAAGTTGTTTGGGTTATCCAAGGTTTGTAGGTGTGATGTAATTTCACTGTCGTTAGTGGGAAGATGTTATTGAGAGCATTGGTCACTTGTGATGAAAAGGAGGTTGTGATAAAAGAATAGCTGTATATAACTATATATTATGAATATGTAAATTAATGGATTATATAAGGAGCCCAGAGTTTGAAGCGAGCAGAGGAAAAACAGGACAAGCAAGGAAGGAGTTCCTAAACATTCAAAAACCGACGAAGACCTTCAGGAGAAGAACAACGTGGAAAGATATCTTGCTTTTGTTGGAAGTATACTAAAGTTCGCTGACTATATACGCTCAAGTTCATCTGAGATCGACAGAAAACCACCTCGAAGCGATTTAAGAATGTTCAGGTTGTCAGCAAGTTTCGTCACGCTTTTGTTCATAAGACATAGCCGTTACAATTTTAAACAAACAAGATACGACGCTGTTATATGTTTGATACTACGCGGAAAGCTGGGCTAGCTGAAGAAAGAAGACGTAGCTACATTGTTGGACTCGGGTTTGTAAAAAAAATACTTTAGGAAATTAGATAACTCTTAGTAATTACAGAATTAAAACTTTTATGTTAATTGTAGTACATTGGGTTTTATTGACTTGGGTTATTGTGAACTGCAGCGCCCACGTCGGCGATAGAAATCGTCACAGGACGTTAATAACTATTTATGCTCGTACCGAACGTCCAAGCCTGGATTTAGATCTCGCAACAGACAATTCCCATTATTGACTAATTTTAAAACTAGGTAAGGAGATGCAAATAAATCACCACAGCTAGAAAGAACATACTAAAATTAGTACAGAGCCCTAGGTATGCCATTGAGCAAGCAAATATATTATCTGTGATATACGTATAATGAAAAAGAAGAACTGGAAAATGTGTTGAATGATCCTGAACTATAGAATTTTTTAAATGCGTAAAAATAATGGAAAATTTGACCGTACATAAAAACGCCAAATTTGAACATTGAGGAACACGTGACAATCTCAAATGACAGATATAGAGGGTATTACACGGCGGCGCGAATATATGACTTTTATCTTCGAGTGGTGATAACAATACTTTATGAACGAGCGCAGCGAGTGAGTAAAATATTAATTGTTTTTAACACGAGAAGATAAAAGTCATATCTTCAAGCCACCGTATAATGTTCTGTTTATTATATAGTCCATGATTGATATCTTCACTAGTGAAGATATGGAAAATATCTTACTGTGTATTTTCAGTATTTCACTCTATTGAAAATGTTTCTTTGAATTAAGGGACAAAAACATTAGAAATGTTTGTCACTTTATGCATTGCCACTTTATGCATTGTATAATCCCCATGAAATGCTTAAAATATATGAATAGATGATGTTATTCTGATACTATTATACAAGTTTGCGAAGTGGTCTTGGCTTCAGATTCTGCCGTGCCGTTAACCTGTACATATACGTCTTAATTTAGTTAAAGTCAGAAGAAATTTATATTCGAGAAATTTGGTAACAAAAGAAAATGAATAAGTCAGCAAGTTTAATTGCTTGTATTCTGTTGGTGTTTGTTGGTTTGGATTTTGTTATTGGTTCCCTGCAAGGTATAAGTGGATTTTTCACTATATAGTGATAAAATTTAACTACGCTGTTTCTTTAATATGTACTGTTTGATAAACGAGCAGCAGTGTTTTATTAGGTTTAAAGCACCAGCGCGCAGTGCGAGTGGCTTTAAGCCGGTTTTCCACTTGCGATTTTTTTTCACGCGAAGCGACCTTTTTCCTTTGTCGGTATCACTTATTACGTCAGCAAGACGTGGCAAAATGGATGCCGACAAAGGAAAAAAGTCTCTTTCGCGCGAAAAAATTCGCTAGTGGAAAACCGGCTTTAAGGTGGATTTCCATTCAATGGAAAAAGTCGCGAGATCGACATTTTGCGACCACTTTCTTTTGAAATACAAGCAATCAAGCGCAACGGACGAGGTTGACTTCACGCATTTGAAAAGAAAGTGCTCGCAAAAAGTCGATCGCGCCACTTTTTTCACTGAATGGCAATCCGCCTTTAGACCTAATAAAACACGTCCTACGGCTACAAATTCAATAGATATAGGCGCACTGTCTTATTAGTATTATTTATATAAAGAATTATTAATGAGTGTTTGAATTTGTTTTAATATACAGGGTGTCCCAAAAAACCCCGCAAAACCATTGAAATAACGTATTGTTAAAATTTGAATGTCCTAGCACTAAGCTGAACGCAAAGATGCTAAAATATTGACAAGGGTGCATATATTAAATATTGACTTACTTTAAGAAATTAAAATATCTTTGTAAAGCGCACAGGGACGTAGCGCCAGACCTGAAAAGGGGGGGAGGGGGGGGGGGAGGGGGGAGCCATGAGGCCAGGCTAAAGGTATAGTAGTGGTTATATGTTTGCTGGAAAAGAACTATATGCAGAGTTGGTGTAATGTACTCAGGTGAATAAGATGTTTGTGTGATGTTACTCTGAGTGTATATCCACACCGGGCAGGCTCAGTTGGAAGAGCATTGGGCTAGCATTCCAAAGGTCGTAGGTTCGAATCCCGCCGTGGCCAGGCATATTTTTCAAGCCTGCCCGGTGTGGATATACACTCAGAGTAACATCACGCAAACATATATGCAGAGTTGGTGGCGAATAGCGAAGGGGATTATTGGTTAGAAAGAGCTTGGATGGTTGTGGCCACTAGACGAGGACCAACTACAAAATTTCAGAATTGTAGCCATCAAAAGTAAGAATTGTTTGCTATACTTTATTTAGCTTTTCGAGGGTTAGACAGTGAAACACAAAACACCGGTACCATTGTTTGCCAATCCACAAGCGTGTGGGCGTATTATAAAGAAAACTGAACGCAATAATTAGCCTTTCTCACGCCGCCATTTTTGGGTGGCTTTTCAGCCGAAGTCTACGATATAAGTCCATCTTGAAAAATTGCTTTCACATTGTTTTAATTGTCTGCATTGGTTAACGAGAATTATAGATGCCACCCAAAAATGGCGGATATTCGTCATCGTGAGAAAGGCTAATTGTTTAAGACTTAATATAATGTAAGTTATGTTGTTATTAACCACTAAGGTCCGAGTTAAGACCATTAAATCATAACAACGAACGTCGATTTTTCATACTGGCAAAACGTTCGATTACTCGGTCTTCATCAATTGGTTCGGTATCGTAGATGTACCAATATTCATGGCCAAGGAATTCAAACGACCTTCAGTTGTTTGATCACGCAAATATGTCGTAGAGACGAAAAACTGCGCTCAACGGTTGCTGTTGATATGAGCAAGATGCTGGCAAAGTTAAAAGGGCGTATATGCTTGGAAAAACATTGGGATCGCAAAATGACAACGTTGCTATGTGATCAGTTGGTGAATCAGTTGAACTGGAAAATTCTCTTTTCCATTTAGCAACCCACAATTGGTGCTGCGCTAAGGCATTTATGCCACTAGTATCATGAGGCATAACATTGTTAGCATGAAGAAATTGGGAATAGTTTCCATAAAGCTGCATGAACTCTTCTTCCACTGCACCAATATTTGCACAGTTACTTGGAAGCAGCGTATCAGACAACCCAGCAAACGTCTTTTTTTTCATTAAATCGAAATCGTAATTGCTCAAGAATTGTATCCGAAAAAAATGGGATACACACTGCTACGCGGAAATAATCAAGTCGACCGTCAGTAGAATCGTCGACACAGAAAACATCTGGGTTATCTCGATACACTGATCTTTGACAAACTCTTGGACACTCTATACTTTGATTTTCGACCAGTTACAGACGAGCAAGTTTTCTATGACAAGTTTTCATATGACAAGTTTTATTTGCTGGTGTGAACGTGCCAACAAGTTTACTTTGACAATTTATTATTTGCCAGCAATGTAATAGTACAGCGGACAACGCGAGCGCTGGCCAATCAAATCAAATGCTCAAATTACTTTGACAAGTTTTCTTTGTTGACCCATACAGACGACCAAAATTTGTACTTTGACAACTTTTTCTATGACAAGTGCTCTTGTTCAAAAGCTATAGCATGCTAGCTGCCTGCTCAGGCGTTCGCGATGGCCGAAAAATGAAAACTTGCACATCACAGTCTAATAGAAAATCAAAAGAAAAGAAAGTTTGGAACGCTTCGTAGATTGCGAGTATAAGTTACGGACTAGTTTACCCACTGTGTAGTGAATGCTGCCTTGGTATAGCATTGTTCCCGAATCTTTCATATTTTAAAGAACAAGAATAAATATTTGTAATGAATTGGAATCATCCATAATTTATACATCAACATTTTCCAAATTAGACCAGGGGCTAAAGGGCAATGACAATGACATGCAGGTGACATTTAACATGTGCGACTGGGTGCGTCTCACCAAATTTGTGTGTTTAATAATGTTTATCAAAGAAGGAAAAAAATATATGCAAGACAACCTCACATGCGAAATCTGTACATGTTCACTTCCTCTCGACGAAACGCGCGAGAGAACATCTGTGAGTTGGATGCATAATCCTTGTTCAGGTCACGTGGATAGTTCCCAGATTTGGGGACCGGACTCTGATTGGACAGTCCTTAATTTGAATAATTTATGACAAATGAAGCTATTTCATTGGTTAATTGATAATTAGCATGCGTTTTGTAGTGAAATAAAGTTCATATGAAGTAATTCAAGTTTGTCTTCTAATCTTATTAGCTCTACTACGGTATTAACCACTCTACTCATATATGATTCCAAACTCGATACGATATATACGATATATACAAACCGAAGGAAAATCCTATACGAACTTATAGTTGCAGTGCCTTGAATTTCAGTCCGACGGAGAGTAATTTGATTCTTGAAGAGCAGTTTGATTTTGTACTTTATTACACTCAATAATTAATATGTTATTAGAAAACTCCCATAATCTGCGGAAGAACGTAAAAATTAAAACACTATATCTTATAGGGAGGTTAAGCATGTAGGACGGCAACACGACGGCGACGGCAACCAATACAATCAGTCAATGAAAAGAAATAAATAATTAAAGTCCCAGGGGAGTTTCAGACGTAGTCTTCGCTCTGTTTACAACGGCAAATCACAGATTTTCACGTTTTTAGTGTGAAGTTTCTTCGAAACTTCACAGTATTGTGATGACTGGGAGGAAATTCAAACTTATCAGTCAGTCAGTCAGTCAGTCAGTCAGTCAGTCAGTCAGTCAGTCAGTCAGTCAGTCAGTCAGTCAGTCAGTCAGTCAGTCAGTCATTCAGTCAGTCAGTCATACAGTAAACTTTCCGGGGGGTGTATACGATTTATGTTCGCAGTGATTTATTGTGCTTTGTCAGTACTTTGAAGGTTATTTAAGCAATTTCAGTTAACTTATTTACATATTCTGTTATCCTTTTGCCAAGTTCACAAAAATTTTGAGGAATCGCTTTTGTTATTGTATTTTTTTGTAAATTTTAGAACATTCGCTTCTCATGTTGTGTAAAGGATCTTTACCCCGGAACACCCGATTTTTTTTTAGTAGCGCAAATGCGCATGCGCTAT